TGTTGAACATTGCTTCTTAAATCAAATACAATTGGATTAAATACGAATTAAAAAATAAAGAAGTAAGAAAAGTAAAGTTCACCATTTACTTTTATAATAAACAACTTCTAGCACCTTCGAAACTTATTGTGCGATTAAAAAATATTACCATTAGCTATCCTATATATATTGGTGACAAATTAATATAGTACTTTATTGATGCAAAAATTACGTTGAGAAATGTATTTCAGATTCTGTACGTTTCCGTAATGGTAGCAACCCTTTATGATATTCTATAAAATAATTTTAGAAATTAACGGAAGTCATGAGCATGTAAATGATTAACTATGTTTTTTGGTAACTAAAATATGATTTTGATCATGGAGGATCCCGAATTATAATGTACAATAAAAAGATATTTACCGGCATAACTTCCGGCAATAATTTGTATGATACATGCGAAAATATTTAAAATTGTTATTTTAAATAAATTACTTGTTACCGAGTACGTAAAAACCGATAGTAGCAGGTTAATAATAAAATATTTCTATTCAAAAAAGGCCGTACTGTATATGAAACAAGATGGCGGAATATCCGGGACCAAAAGACGCGGGTCGCAAGTACAAATAAAACATATTAATTATGTAATGACTATCAATCGAATGATTTACATATGTAAACCTTCTTCATTTTGCTGGCGTTGCTCATTAAAAACCATGACACGTGTACACAAGTGTATCATTTCCCATCGATAAACTGATTACGTCCGCATTAGACTCTATGATGTTCACAGTTCGATTTTACTTCTCGATTTAATAGAGTTTTTGTTCTTCTATACGAGGTACTATCTTTTTTTTTTTTAAATTAAATTAAAGGTTTTTTTTCGGGTGGTCTATTGAATGGTCTCAGATATTTTATAATTATTTTGTAATTATTATTATAAAATATTATTTATAATTATTATATTATATTTTATTATTATTATAATTTTTATATTTATAATGGTTTCAGGTATTTTCACCATTCTTATACAGTTATACCTTCCAAAAAAATTGTGTACAGCATCTTATACATGTGCATATCAGAGACACGAATTACTGCACAGAAATTATGAATATTTCGATCGAATCTTTCAAAATGAAGAATGCATAATTCTGTTGCTGTATTCTACGATTCTGTACAGAAATACTATTTTATAATATTTTCAGACCACTAACCATAATGGGTACGCTTTTCTATCTTCTTCTGATTGTTGCGCCAGTGATACATTCGTTGAAGGTGAAGTACATACATTTTTTCGTATTTATAATTAGTATCATACATGTTCTTCGACAAATTTCATAGCTGTAAATAATTTATGTGTGCGTAAAATTGTATAAAATGCGTTATCAAATGTCTATCAACAAAACAGGTATATTGTGTAAAGTATATTGAAATATAGTAATGCCTCTCTAAATGACGCTCAGATTCTGCAGAAAAATGGACAATTTGGGAAGAGGAGACACGATTATTCGAGTCTTGCGCTTCGTTTTTATAGTTGTTGAGAATCGGCAATTATAAAAACGAGACGCAAGACTCAAATTAATCGTATCTCCTCTTCTCAAATTGTCCATTATTGTGGACAATCTGAGCGTCTATTAGAGAAACATTACTGTACTACGAAATACAATAATGTCTCTCTAATTGACGCCCAGATTGACCACAAAAATGGACAATTTGGGAAGGGGAGATACGATTATTCGAGCCTTGCGGTTTATTTTTATAGTTATAAATTGTACACAATTATAAAAACGAGCCGCAATGCTCGAATAATCGTATCTCCTCTTCCCAAATTATCCAATTTAGTGGACAATCGGAGCGTCAGTAAGGGAGACATTACTGTATTTTTCATTATGTTTCCCAGCTACACGAATTGATGACCGCCGACGAAGTGATGGGGATATTTCATACGACGCATGATTCTGGTATGCTTAAATGGAACAACTATAAACAGAATAATATTAAATCGTTGAAACAATTTCGAATTGTTGGCCATAATTGATAAACTTTTTCTTTTAGTGCCGAAGTACGAAATCGTATCGATGTTGTATTCTATACATGCTATCCACGAAAATGGTACCAGAAAGATGTATATGAACACCTTTAATCATGATATTGAACTTACTTTGAATCCAACCGAGGGATACCTTGCTAGTGAAGACACCCCTTTATGGACTGTCAAATCTGGAGTTAAGCATGCACCAGAAGATCTACAATATACTCTCATACCAAACGTAATTATTGTTTTTTGTTATTCCTTTATCATATCGTTCTTTATTTATTGTCTCGTTTTATTTTCATCTCTTCTTATTTTTTCTTTATGCTGCGTACTTCTTATACTTCTAATACTGTGTTTGCTACATAGAAAAATTATTATATAGGTGTTTATACATACAAAGTTGACCCACTTTAACAATTAAGTAATATTACGTACACGTTACGAAAAATACTGGAATTAATTCGGCAATGAATGCAAGACATAAATGGTATAATCTTATGCTTAATTATATATATATATTTATGTTATTATATATATATATATATTATAATTATAACTATATGTAATTTACTATAATAATAAATTATAGTAAAATGTGATTGTCGAAAGGTAAATGGTCTATTCTGAAAACTAATTATATTTCTAGATTACATCAAAATTGAGAATTTGATGCAATAAATGAGTACTAAAAAAATGATTTCAGGCATTAAAGGACATCGGTACTCCAATGCAGGACGAAAAAGCAGAAGCGGCGGTCGTGGTTACATCAGAAAACAGTAGATTCGCTACATTTGTGAGTGCCAAAATTCGCTTTAATTATTTTAAAAGCGCTCTTTTAATCGCGTTATATTGAATGAACATCTTTTCGATCGACATATAACAGCAGAATAACTTTAGTTCATACTATCCATACGGTATTGTAAGAAATGCGTGATTATTAGGTACAATAACACGAGTGTCTATTGTTTTTCATGTACAATTCTATTTTAGGACGGATTTCTTCCATTCAACTTAATTATACGCTCTTTGCCGCAACGTGTTATTCGTCTTTTGTACGGGAAAGGCGGGCTATTCGAGTCCCATTTTAATAAAGAAGGAACAATGAAGAATTTCACGTACACTTATCATCACGTTATCTATGAACAAATTCCGAAGGAGAACTATGAGAGCTTTAGTAAGTAAATTTTGGTTGTAGTTACAAAATAATCGAGTGCATTTGTTACGTAATAAAAATAAGAATTATTAATTACGTATAAAAATAATTTTTGTTACATTTTCCAGATATTACGAATCCAATGTCTAGCATGTACCCAATTCCAGAAATTGTATATCCAGAGATTTTAGTAGTCATCGATTATAGTCTATATTTGTAAGTGTTGCTCTACGTAACCTTCATTCGTTTCAAGTTTTAAAATGTTACAATAATTATACAAGATGTCCCAAAAATATCTTGCAATCCGAAAGTTGGGGATTCCTGAGGTGATTCGAAGCAACTTTTTCCTTAGCGAAAATGCAATCCGCGGCTTCGTTTACGAGTTATTAAGGAAAAACGGTGACCAATCAGAGGCGAGATCATTTGGCGCGAGACGGCCGAGCCAATGAGCAGAACTGGGCTCCGTGCACTCGTTGGTTGGGCCGCCGCGCGCCAGCCGAGCTCGCCTCTTATTGGTCAGTGTTTTTCGTTAATAACTCGTAAACGAAGCCTTGGAGAAAATTTCCGCAAAGGAAAAAGTTGCTTCGAATGACCTCGGGAACTTCCCATTTCCGGATTGCGAGACATTTTCGGGACACCCTGTATATTTAAAATTCTGTTATCGAATTAGAACGCTGGGGCACAACATTAATCAAGCTAAACGATACATCGTTGCGTTCTGGAATGGAGTTGATTTACGATATCGAGTACTAACGAAGCCGAAAATCCGATTAAATATCGCTGGTATAATTATAGCAATGGTATGAATTTATCTCAATTTTTACTAATACTTTTTCACGATTTTAGAAATGGATGGTTACATATTAGGGGGACCGGAAAGTTATGTCGTCTATTTACATTAAATTCAAACAGATACATTTTTAACTAGTTTTTATTTTCAATCAATGATGTAATCACCCTCATTATCAACAACCTTCTTTCATTTAGTATGCAAATTTTTAGTAGGCAAAAATTAGTATGCAAATTTTTAGTATGCAAAAAAGGAATACTGACATGCGCAGAAACGACATTACTTTCCGGTCCCCCTAATATTTTTGTTTATTTTCTCAAAATAGTAATAGACATGATACTGCTTAAAAAATTGGTTGTTAAGGGAGGAATCCTGCAATTAGAACTTCATTGCAGGACACAGGAGCAGTTCCATATATCGAAGATAGTCGTTTGCAAGGAAACTTAGTAGATGCTGATCACGCTTTGCATGGTATGGCAACTTATTTCTACGAGGAGAAAAGGTTCCCATGGAAAATTTATGACATGGCAATGACGACGACACGGTAAGTCAATACCTCTTTAGTCGATTTTTAGTATCTAATTAGGTCAAACCCAAACGACGTTGGTATTATTAATAAATGAACGGCGACGTATGATAATTTAATCGCTATAATCTGAAAATCAACAGCTCGATAAATGTTTTAAATGAAACAAGTAATTAGACAGAACTGATTTTTACAGTTTGAATTTATGCAATAAAATGGATGAACATTTATGCGATCCTTCAACATTGGGTATGTGAACATTTTTTATTTACTTTTTTCATTAATAAAATTTTATATTGTACATATAGTATGTTTCGTCTGCATTGTCTACTTTGTTTATTTTTGAAAAAATATATCATTACAAGGTTGCTTTTAGTTTGAAAATATTGTACAATTTTTATCATTTCTATCCAAGATACATACATTGTTTATACATTCAAAGATAATGATATTTTGAATTTTCTATCGCAATCATCAAAAACTATCAGAATCCATGAACAAAGGTTTACATTAAAAATAATGGCAGGTTACGCTTACGTAAAAGGCGCATGCGATAGAAACGCTACAACAAAAATGTCAGAGGCTGTTGGAATAGCAGAAGATGACGGAGGTTTCAGTGGCATTATACCAGTAGCACACGAACTGGGACATTTGTAAGTTTTTATCATTCCTTTTTAATAAAAAGAAAATTTAAGGCTATTAATTAATAGGAAAAAAATAAAAAAATAAAAAATATTAATTTAATTAAAATTTTTAATTTTTACCTGGCTACCTGCCAGGTAGCCTTTTTAACGAGTCCTCTAGCAAGCCCAGAACGAAACGCTTCCTCTCTACCATATTCAATTTTCTAGTTTTTACTTCCTTATTTTTCTCCTTATTTTTCTACTTTATTTTCTTATTTTTATATTCGATCTGATACTTTAGGCACCGTATCGATCTACCGCGTAGTAAACATTTGCCATAATTTCAAGCCTATTTTTTTCTAGATTAGGAGCTCATCATGACGGTACTGCAGAGGATTCTAAAACCTGTTTGCCAAACGATGGTTACCTCATGACAGGATCTCTGATGTTAAGCGAACATCAATTCAAATGGTCCAATTGCAGTATAAATGCGCTTCACAGATTTCTCAGGTAGCCTTCATACGTTAATTATTATTAAAGAACAAACGATCGGCGATAACAATAGGGCTGAAGTTAAATTACAATTATATGGTCCAATTGCAGTATAAATGCAATTCACAGATTTCTCAGATTTCTCTTCATATGTTAATTATTATTAAAAAAACAAACGATCAGCAATTACAATAGGGCCGAAGTTAAATTACAATTATATCCAGACTATTTGTAACCCTCGCACTTCGATGACCGGGTCCACTTTAAGCGAGAGTATCTAAATCGTCGGCTAGCTATTCAATTTTTGGTAATTAAATAAGTCAAAATGCTGTCACACCGGAAATAACAGAAACTTCGGATATCGTATTGAAACTTTAGAAATCATAAAAAAAATTTTTCATTTCAGTGGAGACGAAGCAAAATGCCTCTACGACGCGCCACCGAAAGCTATCGCGATAAGACGTCTCATGCCTGGGAAGCTGATGTCCCTTGACGATCAGTGTAGAAAAGTGTACGGTGGCCCAGCATGCAAAGTAAGTGCATACATATTTTGAGATCATAGCAACGAATTGTCTAATAACGACGACAAATCCTACTAGAGAGACAAATCCGAGGTTTGCTATCGATTGGATTGCGAAGTTCCTGATGGCAACGGCTTGTGTTCAGCGATCGCTGCGGCAGCGGAGGGTTCCCCTTGTGGACCTAATCTCGTAAGTTCGCGAGATTCGATTAACAGTTTTGTATTTTAAATTAAGTAAAGAAGCACACCTTTTATTTTATAGATATGCCTTGATGGTCGGTGCGTATTCGAAGGAACGGAAATCAAAGATGAAAGAAGTTATGATAGTACCGACAGTATATGACAGTATATGACCATATGACAGTACCGAAATAAATCCAAGTTTTACAGGGTGTCCTGAAGAAATCATTTGGATATTAAAATGAGAAGATAGAATGATTGCAGCTCATATAAAATATTATATGTTATCAATATTTTTATTAATTAACTTACGCTAAACTTACGTTACTGTTATAGAAAATGAGAAGATAGAATGATTGCAGCTCATATAAAATATTACATGTTACAAATATTTTTATTAATTAACTTACGCTAAACTTACGTTACCGTTTCAGGTAATACAATTATTTATTAACAAATATTTTAATATACAGAGAGAGAGCATTGTCTGTTAACTTATACAAGTGCCTACATTAAATACAAAAATATACATAGATTAGATGCAATGATATAAAAGTATATTAAATATACAGATCTTCACTGAATAACTTTTGGTTCTATACCTATCTCCTCGTACAACTCAGTTTTGCTACCAGGATAGTTTTCCAATATACAATCGATAATTTCGGTACATAAACGTTTTCGTTTATTGTACTCGCGTGAATACTCGTTCAGCGCTCTCTCCGCTTTCCTCCTAGATTCGGCCAAATCTTCGGTACCGCTCGATGCCATCAATGCATCTAATTTATTCGTTAACACCGCAATACTTTCTCTGAGCTCGTTTCTCTGTCTGTTAGCTTCTTCGATCGTAATACTAGATTTGATAGATATCAATAAGGCTTCCTGAACTTTAATTTCTTTCTCTAATTCCTGATACTTGCTCTCAACTTCATTGGCGTGCGACTGCAGTTCTTTATCTATTCTCATCAATTCGTGCACTTCCAAATTCGAATCCTGAACTGGACAATAAACCTTCTGTTTCCCATAGACCTGATGCAAAAATGATCAATTTTGTATCGCTTTTCGTCTTCCGAATTTTTTTCGTAATAGCACACGTAAAAATAAGTTGAAAGCATGAAATAATATTTTTTCATACGTTATTCTAATACTTTTGTTAGAACAGAAATATAACATCGCCGCGAAATGTCGCATTCAAAATATTTAGCAATGTATTAAATTTTGGGCATGAATAGCTTAATGCTTCTTTTTAAATAATGATAAGCTATATCGATTAGCAAATTAAAAATTGCATAGCCTTAGAAAAAATTATTCTATGACATTGAGATTTTTTTTTATAATAACTAATAATATTACTTATAAACGTAACGCTGCTTCAAACTGTGACCTACGTCATTCGAAAAGATTATTTATAGACTTTTAATAATATTGTTAATATGGGGCGCTACCGTTTTTAAAAATAGCGTTCTTTTAATTTTTCGTACCGCAAAAACATAAAAAAATGATATAAAAATATATAAAATTAGAACTAATTGTAGGAACACTGTTAGAAAGCTTGATTTTTAATGATGTTTTTGCGTAAACAGCAAGTCGATATCTATTTTCAATCGAAAGTTACAGCCTTTGAAAGATTTCGTAACATATGCACTTTAATGTTCACTGATTCTAATGTTTTTGAAACGTAATAAGAAAAGATTTTAAACGCAAAATTTGCAAATAATTGTGTGTGGATATTTTTACATATATTTTGCTATATACACATTTATTTTTATAGTCATTAATTTGTTGTAATCACTGTCAATACTCCATTTTGTTTTTCCATAATTTTCTACAGTGTATAAAATATGATACGACTTTTTGG